TGTCTGTGGCTGTTTGGGAACTACCAGAACAGAATTGAACAGTTGTAACAGACACCATATGACTTTAAGAGCCTACACTATTATCTGGCCCTGTACAGAAAAGTTTGCTGACACTAACCACTAAAACATGTCACCTGACTCTCACTTTATGTTTGCTATTTTAGTAGCAGTAACACATGATAAACACATAGAAATTTTATGTTAATTCTTTGAAAATCACCAATTCAGTATTATATGAGAAATTCTATTCCTTACATTATATTCCCATAACCAATCATGCCAGAAAATACCATTAACGTACTTCAACTAATAAAAATCCATTTTTCCCACCAGTCATGGAATTTTGGTGATCTTTAATTCTATCTCTGCACAAGATTAATAGTTTCAGACTAAACATTCTTTATTACTTTTAAAATCAGCCCTCACATATTAAGCCTTGCACTCCCTCCATGGTTACAAGTTACTTCGTTACTTCTGAACAGCTCTCTAGTTCCACTGTGTATACCCTGAGATATCCTATTTGCAGTAATTCAAGCATAATATAGGCTAGTTTTCTTCCTGATTTATGTTTTAAAAAAAAAAAAGACTTTCAAATATAATCCTTGATGATACTCAACATTTTGAGATTTTTTTTGGCTGCACAGTACCCTGGACTAATGCCTTCAAGAAACAATATAGAGACTCTAAACTTCTCTGAATAAAATTAAACAGTCCAATCTGCAAAGGAATACTTTTACTGATTTAAAACCAACTGTAATATGGTTTAGAATACTTCTTTAAAAATAAACACAAGACTTAGAATTAAGAAAAAAAAAATGTTAGACCAGTCTAAGGCTTTGGAGATCCCTAAATCCTAAGAGTTTAAAATTTGCAGATGAGAAAAATGAGGCTTAAATGACTTGCCAAAGGGCCAGGTAGCTCTTGGTAATTCACACTACCTGCAAATCAAAAAAGTGATATAAACAACTAATAAAAAAAAAATAGATAAATTTTTTTAAAAAGTGATACAGATCTCCTATCTATAAAGCCAGGCATTATAGATAGATATGGATATGGATCCAGAATGTACAATTTCAAATCCCGATTTTTGCCTTTCTATGTTACCTTCTAGCAAGTTACTTAAAAGATTTGTGTCTGTTTCCTGATCTTCATGGTGATAGAGAGTATGTAAACAATCCTTACAGGACTAGTACATTTAAGTGCCCCATGTTAGGTATTACTATTATTTTCCGTAGGGACTTTTCTTACTAAAATCTTGGGAACCATGATTACATATATATCTTGGTTGACAATGGTTTCAGTTAATCTAAATCAATGAGATACTTCTGTGCTGAAACAGACATACTGAGGAATAGCAGATAAAATTCCTTTACTACTAAATACCCTCTTGCTTTTCCCACAAAGAAAGCTCTTTTCCTTTAGGGAGATAGGTTAGCATACAGATTAGCATTTTCAAACAAATCTCAATTTACCAAATTAGGAGTACTGGCTCTGGATCCATAATGTACAATTTCAAATCCTGACTTTTGCCTTTCTTTGTTACCTTCTAGCAAGTTACTTATCGGATTTGTGTCTGTTTCCTGATCTTCATGGTGATAGAGTATGTAAACAATCCTTACATGACTAGTACATTTAAGTGTTCCATGTTAGGAATACTGCTATTTTCCTTTGGGAGTTTTCTTACTAAAACATGGGAAAGCAATCAAGATATAGAGAAAATGCACTTAAAGGTAGCTAGAAAAATATAATTAATTATAGTAAAATTTATTAAATGTAAAACAAAGAGGAAAAATAGTTCTTAAATGGCAATTTATAATGAGTTAAACCTATTTAAAACACATGCACAAGAAGTCCTACCTTTAATATTGAAACACACTTTAGGGCCTGGGGATGTAGCTCAGTGGTAGATCACTTGCCTACATTCAACAGGCCCTGAGTTCAATCCCCAGCACTGCAAAAAAATTAAAAAAATAAAAATAAAAAAATAAGCCAGGCCTGGTGGCACATGCCTGTAAAGTTACTAGGGAGACTGAGGCCAGCCTACAATTTTGAGACCCTGTCTCAAAATGGCTGCTGGAGATATAGCTCAGTAGTGAAACACCCCTGGATTCAATATCCAATATGAAAGAAAAGAAAGAGATTAAACATAAATGTTAGTCTTCCTGGATTTTGGCAGGAATCAGGCCTAGGTAGACTGAATGACACTTAAACACAAGAGTCATGGCCATAGTTATTTTCTTCAGTAAGTTACATAAACATTTGGTCCAGCAGCTGGGGTTGTAAGCTCAGAGGTAGAGTACTTGCCTAGCACAAGGGAGGCACTTGGTTTGGTCCTCAGCACCACATAAAAATAAATTTTAAAAAAGGTATCGTGTCCATCTACAACTAAAAAAAAAAAAAAAAAAAATCTAATAAATATTTGGCTTTTCCATGACAATAATTACCAGTACTTTTGGTCGAGGATAGCAATACAGTAAGAAGAGTTTTGTACTGGCACTCTCCCTGCAGACTTCTATCAAGCTGGAAAGTCATGCTACAGTCACAAAATACATGAATTTTACAGCAGTATGATCTTGGAGAACCCTCTTACAAGGTATTAATTTATTATCTCATCTATAAACTGGTGATTACATTCACCTCCCAGATTGGGGAGGGGTAAGAGGGTAAATAGAGATTCGTATGAAAATGTTTTGAGAATAGCTAACAACATACACATATTCCTAGTCTCGACTCCATTGTCCCCTTGGGAAGGGAGGTCATTTAGCAATCTAAGATAACTGCAACTTCTATGTGTGTGTGCGTGTACACATATGTGTGTATGTGTCTGTGTGCAAGGGGTGTTACATAGGCCTATATCATCTTTCCTACACTGGGTTACTTCTGGAAATGTAAAGTCTTATTATGGTCTCAGGTTGGATTTTTTATATATGGGACTCCAGAGTATGATCATTAATGAAAGACCTATATTAGGTCCAAGCATCTCCCTAACATCCTCAAACTCATTACAAAAAAAACCACAATCTCTACTTGCATGTTTCTTTTCTCTTTTACAACACCCTGAACACTGCCATAAGAGATTGTAAAATTTCTCTAAGAAATCTTGAGAGGTACTCTAGAAAATTAATGCTATTTGTGTAAACAGTTACTAGTGTCTTTCAAAGCTAAAAGGACTTTATGAAAATCCCAATGGTACTAAAAGAAAAATATTAAATTTCCAGCTCATATAACTTGATACCAGATGGGGCTTTCTGAACTATTCAGTTCATAAAAAGGAAATTTAATCTGTTCTAAGTATGGAAGAGTGGAGGAGTCTAGGACCTTTAAGTACACTAGGTCTTATGTATTGATTCAGTGTCAAAAGGGTCTTAGGGGAAGAAAGAAAAAAGAATAAAACCTCAGTGCAAATTAAGGGCACCAAGAAAACTGCTACTTTTGTTTCACCAAAAACAGAACCATCCCAGCCACCCTGTAATATCTAACATACAAGAATAACTAGAGGGAATTTATAAAATGAAAACAAAATTCTGGAATCTTATCTTTACAATGGCAGTATTTGAAAAGAAGTCTTATTTAACCTAAAGTAATTAAAATAAATTTCAATGAGGTCATCTGGTCTAAAATCTTTTAGTAATTAGTAATTTGTTTAAATTAATAAACTTAAAATATTTTCTCACTTTTTTAACTTTTTGATCCTATCTCTGCCCTGTCAATATCACTTCATGTAGGCACCAATTAAGTTTTTGAAGAGTTCAAACAAATGTTTTCTAATTCAGTTAAAATAAGTTCATTACATTGGCATTGTGCTATCTTCACTTTACAAACATTATCTCATTTAATCCTCTCCACAATCCCAAGAGACAGACATTATTATTTCTACAACATCCATTTTAAAGATGAATAAACTGACGTTTATAGATAAGCAACCTGCTTAAAATCAAAGGACTTGTATATAATAAGGCCTTTATTCAATCCATGCCAATGTAACCTATGTGCTTTCAATCACATTAAAAACACAGGTAAAAAGATAATTTTTCAACTTGTATGTATTCTACATTATAGTATTCATGAAAAATAAATCGTTCTTTTCCTCTCTAACAATTCATTAAACTGTGGACCCTGTCAAATAGCATTTCTTTGTTTCCTTTCCTGTTTTTAGATTTACATGACAAAAAGTATTGAGACACCAATACCAAAGTTTTAAAATTTAACCATCATCTTATAAACCAAACTTCAATATCTTTTATTTTTAAAATATAGAAGAAATCTCTCCTGTAAAGGATGCAGGAGCTGAACCTGCAAAAATGTGAAACTGAGAATTGTTCTCCCTCAGTCCTCTACCTCCACCCCCATTCAGTAAGGATGAAAATACATAACTTCAGAGAACCAACGAGATACAGAACAATCAAGAAAATTGAGACATTAGGTCATTTCTCCTTAGTACATCCGTTTAGCGGAAGGGAATGAACTGGAAAGGTGTTCTACTGCCCTTCGCTTATTTCAGCATTATTAAAAAAGCAACTGCAACACAAGCACACTGTACCCGAGAACGCTGAATCAAATAAGATCATTTATCACGACTACCAGTCTTAGTTCTACCTTCTCTGTCAATTATACAAAGAATCGCCTATTAAATATTAATGGCATGCCATTTGCACTGGAGCTGTCACGGACAGCTTCCTGTTACCTATTTTTGTTAAGAAACAAAAACTGTCTCTGTATACTAGGTAAACCCCAGGCCACTAGAATCCCTCAGATGGGCGATCCATTCTCTTCCTCCCCGGGGAGGCTGACAGGGCCACCCTCACATGCCAGGGAGGAGGAGGGAGGAGGGACTTGAGGGAGGGCGGGTCCCCGCGGGTCCTGGGCTGAGGACCGGGTTCCCTGACTTCCCAGCCGTCAGCGACAGGTCGGGAGGCGGGGCGCGGTCGATCTGAGCTGTCCGCACAAAGACTGTGAGCGAGCGGGTCCGCGCACCGGGACCCCGGCGGGTCCTGGGCTGAGGACGGGGTTCCCTGACTTCCCAGCCGTCAGCGACAGGTCAGGAGGCGGGGCGCGGTCGATCTGAGCTGTCCGCACAAAGACAGTGAGCGAGCGGGTCCGCGCACCGGGACCCCGGCCGGGACGGGGTGGACCCTGAGGGGTGCGACAAGGCAGGGGACGCTTACCTAGCAGCAGCACGTTCTTCCCCGCCGGGAGCTTGGAGCGCGAGCGGGTGGAGACCTCGCTGAGGATGCAGGACCTAACGGGAAGCAAGGCGCAGGCTGAGGCCAGGGACGAGGGGCCGGAGCCGCACCTCGGGAGGGACGGCCGGGCCTCGGCGCGCCAGGGCCAGCTCCTCCGAGAGCTCAGTGG